ATGGCTCAAGGGCTTCAATGGAGGCTTAGATTAGGGTTTCCAGAGGTCTTGGAGGTAAAAGAGGCGGAGTAGAAGCAACCTTAATCATCCCATACCTTTAAATACTTGAAAATAAGGATTTTGGTGCATCAGATGCGTCTCACATCGTGAGCCCTTAATGCTCACGTCGTGAGCCTTAAATCAACTTGGTCAACAAGTCAACGATCACTCACGCGAACCACTCCAACTTCAAACGACCATAACTTCTTCGTTTCAACTCCATTTTTGACGTTCTTTATATCCACGGAAAGGTGGCAAAAATCTCTACGCATATATCAACTTATCCTCACCTCAAAACCTTCCGAACGAAAATCCAAAATTCATAAAGAGCTCGAACTGCCACTTTACCGATATGCCCCTTGGCTCCAATGCACCACCCAACTCCCTGATTACCTCCAATACATCGTCCGTACCTAAATGGGTCTAGATATCTCTCTTCCAAAGGCCCTAAACCTTATGATAGCCCATCTTCAAGCCACAGTCCCGAATTAGGAACACGATTCGGAACAGGGCGTTACAGACAGAGAGAATGATTATAATCCATGTCTCATGTCCATATGATATCTAGAATGGAGGAATATATATGATCCCTTATCTAATGGATGCATCATTGACTAGGTCAAAGTTTGACAGCGGCTTTTGAGAGCTATGATTGCTAGTCGGGTTTTGAAGTCGCACTTGCAGTTATAGTTATTAGACTTATCCAAGTGGGAGACTGTTGGATTAGGTGTCTAATCCCATAACTATAATTGGTATGTACTTGACCCGAGAGTAGCATGGTCCATTTTGGGTTGCCTTCACCAGAACAATTTGACAGGATGGATATTTGAGAAAGAGGTTATTTGTGATTTATTAATATATTATAAGTATAATATATTAATTGAGAAATCATATTATTTAATTAATATTGGTCAAGAATTAATTTGGAATTAATTTAGTGATCAAAAGAGATTAATTAAATTAAGGGGACTGATTAAGTAAATCAGTAATACATATAGTTTGGGCCAATGATCCATGATTGATTAGTGATGGACTAAGTTTATGTGAGAGTCCATGAAGTGTTAGTCCATAAGGCTTATCATATGGATTATTAGATTAAAGGCCCAAGGAATGAATTAGGGTTTACAAGTTGAAACCCTAGGAATTCCACATTATAAAAGTAACCCCTTAGCTCCAAATTTGACACCCTAAGGGTTCTAAGAGAACCCTACCTGATTTTGGTGTTTCTAGCCTCTCTCTCAAAGTCCTCCATTTGTTCATGGTGTTTGTGACTTGTTTGAGCATCACACTTGAGGTGTTAAGCTCTTGAAAGGCCAACAACTACAAGCTACAAATAAGAGGTATTCTTCTAACTAGTTTTATGATTCATGTACCAAATTTGTATGCTAGATAGGTGTCATGCTTTGGATAATTTTTTGTTGCATGTATAACTAGAGAAAACTTAGATCCAAAGAATTAGGGTTGTATGTGCACCATAGGAGTGTTATAGTAGTTAAAACCCAACAGTGGTATCAGAGCCATGGGTTGTTTTCTGTTATATAGATGCATTGTTTAATTGTTCAAAGTTGAAAAAAACTGAAAAATTTGTTGTTTGACTGCTGGACTCGACGAGTTGGTTCTCATGACCATGAACTCGACAAGTTGGATCATTAGATGGCAGATTTTTCAAGTGTTTGGCCTGTTTTGGATTTAGATAATTACCACAAAATGTTTTGGCTCATAAAATTCGATTTTACTGATATGGTAATGATTGTCCCCATCCAATAACATGATGATTGTCAAATTCTAAGATAATTACTTGATTTTGTGAAAAACTAATTATTTGTAGAATTTGAAATTATCTAGCCATATGAATTGAATTAGTTTAAATTAGTGAAAGATAAAATTATATGATTATTTTATTAGTTTAAATTTTGAACTAAATGGCTTTGAAGAGTTTCATAACTTGCCCTCAAGTTATGGAACTTGGAAAGTCTATTTTTATGACTAAAGAGAGTTATAAAACTTGCCATCAAGTTTTGGAACTCAAAAGTTTTTCTAAGGAGTTACAAAACTTGCCATCAAGTTTGGAATTCAAGAGTTTTTTTAATTAAGTTTTGGAATTTGAAAAGTTTAATTAAAAGGTTTTAATTTGAAATATTGAATTCTAAAACATCTAGTAATTGAAAGGTTTCAAAAGGGTGCAACTCTTGGGTTTATAACTTAAAAATTTATTAAATAGTTTTTAATTTTGAATTTTTATAACCTTGATGCGTTGAATAGTTCAATTACACCTTATGGACTTTATTAAATTGATTAAAGTGTTTAATTAAAAGAGAATTAATAAATCCATAAGCATATGGTTTAAAGTTAATTAAATTAAGATTATAATTTATTAATAGATTAAACCACCTAGTATTTTAAAAAGTGTAAAATACACCCTTATACTATATAAAATTAAAAGTTTAATATATTATGTATGTATAAGAAAAAGGTCAGTCTTACCGTTAGTAGGCCTCATTCACGAAGCTGGTCTAAAATGGGTGTTTAAGGAAGCGGCCTGTAAAATGACCGCCATTGGGTATCCACTCTTACCCACCGCACCCTTGACCAGTGGAGGGTCGTTAGCCGAACGGGTTTGACAGGACATTTAAATCCTCATTAAAAGTATCATGAAACATAAAGTAACTAAACACTTTATAAATTCCCAATCTTAGTTACTTAGGAAAAATGTGAATTTGATGCTAACCCATGAAATTGCACATTGCACTTTATTAGTCGTTAGTGGAGCGTGTGTGGTTAACCGGCACACTAGTATGGGACTAATGAAGGATGGAAATGGGTAAATCGTAGTTTGTCATAGATCAATGGAGCGTGTGTGGTTAACCGGCACATTGATTAGGTGATAAATGACTTCGAGAGTACCAAGCTAATTTTCCTTGTTATTCACACCTTGTTTGTGATCCTCGGTATCCCAGTCACAAACTTGAAGGGCATAATCGAGATTAAACATGTCATTGAAAAAGTTCAATGAATCTCAAAAAATCTAGGAATTTCAATTCATTTAAAACCTAATGCTCTTTTTCTTTTTTCATGGTGGAAATTGGTAAATCGTCATTTACCTACCTTCAAATATTTTACAATTGGATTACGGCATCTCTCTTCCGAATTGTAGAATATTGTATTGGGTCCTAGCCTTAATATTTCATTTTGGGTGTTATATTAAGGACTTAAATCAACTAACTTGAATTTCTCCCCTTATAGATGTCTAGGTCAGACAACTATGGTCTGCCTTATCCTGTTGGAAAAAGTTTTCCACATGAAGATGATATTCCACAATATCATACTTCACTTCCTACACCTCCTCCAATAATTCTCCCTGACCCACATGTTCGTCGACTTGAAAAGTTCAAGGTCACTCAAGCCCTATTGGCAAGCAAACATGAAGATGGAAGGTATGTGTGTGCACATGTCTTGGAGATGAAGTCACACATTGACAGGCTGGGAATGTTAGGAGTCGTTGTGTCAAGGAACGTGGCTGTTGACTTGGTTCTTCAATCACTTCCTAAGTCATATAGTGAGTCCATTAAAGATTACTATATGACAGACCGCGACGTGATCCTTATCGATCTTTCCTATTTGCTAATTGCTGCTGAATCTGAAATGATTTGGCGCACTGGTAAAGCAAATTTGATTGGAATCTACTTCCCAAACTTCCATGGACATTGGCAATGGAAACATTGGAAGTCCAGAAAAGTCTTTCCAATGGAAAGGGAAATACTAAGTTTGAGATTGTCCCTGTGTCATTCCAAAAGAATTTGTTTGCTTTTATTGCCAAGAGAAGGGGCATTGGATGCGAAGCTGCCGTATTTACCTGAAAGACCACAAGGATGGTGAAGTCAAAGTGTTTGACTGTGCTTCAGGTAAGTCCACTATCTAACTCTATTAAGTTCCTATTTATAGATTCTTAATACATGATGTGATAAGATTACATTTTGATGTTTTGTATGATCGAAGAAGAGAAAGGAAGCTTAAAGAAAGAGCAGGTTGAGTCTGATCGCGAAGAGATGGATTTCGATCGCATGATTCGATGATCAAAGTTTTGAGCGCTTGTGTGTGTTCATTTGTTTTGAAAATTAATTTTGTTTCCTAAATAGTCAAGAAGGAGGTTATGTGCTCATTTAGCTATACATAGATCATCAACTCTTTCTCTGCTTGTACACTCAACATGGTTGATAATGATATACATGACTGTAACTGAACCAATGTTTATTGACTATTTATCTGGATGGATCATAATCATTTCCAAATTGTTGTTGTATTAAACCTAAAAAGGTGGAGCATTGATCCAATAGGCCATCAGTGTTAAATATTTGGGGAGTTAAGTCTTTGTATGCAAGATTTCATTGCATTTCATAGAGTGGTCATGTATGTGGATTGAACCTAATGTTGCTCCAAAACTCCCCCCTCGATAAGCCAACAGTGTATGATGATAGAAATAAAACATAAACGGATGTAACAATTATGATTTCACCTTTGCTTTTATTTCAGCTGTGTCTCTTTGTTTTGAAGTTTTTATCTATACTTTTGCTTGTAATAGAGTGTTCAAAGACTCTCATTTTTAGGGTTACTGTTTTTCTTTCTTTTTTTTTCCTTTAGGCTGATGGTAGTGTTTCATCTCTTATCTTTGCAGCCTCTCTTCTAACCATATGATACTGTGTAACTTTTGGGAAAATAGTTTTCTTATACCATTTATTATGTAATTTGAAATAAACAAAGGTAAATAAGAGAATCCCTTTAGATGATTGAACTACCAATTCATAGTCATTTCATTCCTATTCTGCTCAATCATGATTCAGGAATAAAGGTTTTGAGCATTCAACCTTATGATAAAAACAAGCAAGACAAATACAAGAGAATGAATTTATTTATCTCAGAAAAATTGTTTGCCAAAATACATGACTTCCTAATTGCTAAGAATAACTTATTTGATGTGTAACTGACTGAACAATGCAATATTTAAATACTAGTATGTAGTCATCTTACATGGTTGTGGCATCTTGTTTAAATTTGGTAAAAGAATTCAAAATTGGCAATAGAAAGTAGTAATTTGAGGCATTCACAAATCACAATGCCTTTTTCCTTGTTTGTGGAGAAATTTTAACGCCCCTTTTTACTTGTGTGAGATTTTTCAAGATGAGGAAATGCACTCAAAATGTTGTGTGCTCTCAAGTCCTGCCTGGTCAAGATTCCAACCACTGGTGGCACCTGCATAACATCAGGTCAGTAAGCAATTTATATTATTATTATTATTATTATTTCAAAAATAAAAATAACTTACCCCATGGCCATGGTACTTTGGTAAAACAAGCATGTGGCGAAGCCCCACTTGCCTGAATTGCACTAAAGCCTTTGCAACAGACATGGTTTCAACAACCGTATAAGGGGTAGAATTGGTAAGTGGATGCAAATCCACATACATTTCCATTTCTTCTTTTGTAACTGCCACCTCCTCTATCGTCCCCCACCTCTCCGCCACATCAACCCAAGTGAACTTTTCTCTCACTTCCCACTCCTCTGTTCTCCTTCTCTCTTGTAAAAACCATTTCTTTTTCAACACCAGTAAAAGATGAGCTCTCAAAACAAGCCCATGCACTTCACTCACCTGTCCCACACTGTCCACAACAGCAAAGCCATTGTGGGTGGTGTTCCTCAAAACATCCACAATCCGACCCACCGTTTCAATCCCTGATAACGTGACAACTGGCGGCTTAACATCCGCCAGCTCACCAACTGTTATATTTCTCATCCATGGCTCCGGGTGGGCTTCCAAGAAAGGCAGCCCTTTAAGCTCTAGTATGATCTCGTATATACTCGGGTTGAAACAGTCTCCAACACTTTTGGAAATTAGAAGGACAAGCATTGTTATCGGAAGCAAAAGAAGATTGTTTGTCAGCTCAAGAAATATGACACACAGGGAAACAGTCATCCGCATGGATCCCGCCATTAAAGAAGCCGCACCCAAAACAGCATAAAGGCCTTGGTCAATGGATGCGTAGGGCCCCATCGCCATGCCAAGTAAGCGCCCGTAAGCGGACCCCATGAGTATAATCGGTAGGAAAAGTCCAGATGGAACTGCAATCCCGAACGTGAAGAGTCCCAATATGCAATAAAGTATAAAGAAAATGACTAAGGAGAAGACACGGTATTCACTGGGAGTGTTGGTGGAGAAAATGTTGCGTACAGCATCATCGTTTGTTGTAAGGAGGAGAGTCGCCAGGTCATTGTAGTGTCCTTTTGGACAGTTAAACTGCTTGAAGTTCCCCATTCTTCCTGTAGACGGACACTCGGAATCTACTAGAGATGGATCGCATGGCGTACAGCTGGCAAGAAACGGGAGTCCATATAAGCATGCTGACGTGAACAATGATACTGCCAGACTCAATGAAATCTTGGCTAATTTCCCTTTGGCATTGATGAGATTGTAGAGACGAAGGACCTTGTGAAGAAGGTAGTTGTAAAGGCTACCTAAAACTCCACCAATGATTCCAATTACAGTTACAGGGATGAGATCAGCTACATGGTACCTCACCGGAACACCGCCGACATCAAACATAATCAACCCACCTTGTCCAAAAAGCCCACATGCTCCATCTTTACAATACTCCATGAAAGCTCTGAGCACCACCACCACAACTGCTGTACTGAAGAAGGTTCTCCAGAGAAGAGCGCTTCTCCACCATGTGGCCACTTCCTCAAGTGCAAACAGGACACCTCCTACTGGGGCCCGGAAAGCAGCACATACACCTGAGGATGCGCCACAGGTGATTATATCTCGGCGATCACGGTCGTTGTTGAAGTAACGAATCCATCGCCATTTGATCCGGTAGTCATCGGGCCCACCTTGACCTAGTAGTGAAGCAATGCAGGCACCAATGTGAACCAGTGGCCCTTCTTTCCCTAAATCCAGACCTGCAGCCACAGCTCCTATACTTCCAACGATCTGTAATTACAATTTTCATGAATATGATTTTCTTTTAAATTTATAAAAAGATAGCAAGAGTATAAAAAAGAGAAGAAAATCCCCCAACAGAAACACAAGTATTATTATTGTTGTGAAAAACAAAAAGTATACGCACCTTAACAAACATGGTGGTGGCACCATACATATTGGGAGTATCCACCCCGTTTAGGTAAGCTTTGATTTCAGGAATGCCAGGACCCGCTGCAGTAGGTGCGAAAAACACACATAGAACTGTTGCGACTAGTGTTAATAGGAAATTAACACCGGTCATGTACAAGAACCCCATCATGTACCTGATCATAAGTCATAATAATAATAATAATAATAAGAGTAAATTACTGAAATCGTCCCTATGGTTTGATCAAAATTACATTTTTGGTCCATAACTTTTATTTTGCATTTGGACTGTCCGTGTGATATGATTTTTTTGCGATTTTAATCTCTTTTAGTAGCAAAAAGACTATTATACCTTTTATTATTCTTTTTAGCTTTTCTTTTTATTATTTTGATTTTATTAAATAAAATATTATATGATAATATAAATTATTCGGCCTCCTCGCTACTCTCTACCGTCGGAGCTACTGCCGGAGTTAGTGACTCGCCGTTACATAAAAGCTTCGACTCCCAATCTCCTTCATTCTATTCTAAAACCCATTCATCCCTTACCCATTTAGTCCTCTCCCGTTAAACTTAAAATCCAAGCCCTGTATTTCCTTGTCTTCATCATCACCGGCGGCATCACATGGACAGTCAAAGCCCAAGCCCTAAATCGCCACCTCCATCGTCTGAGAGTCAATCGGCAATCCCATCTCTGAAGAGTCAATATCCGCCATGAAAGAGTCAAAGTCCAAATGTTTCTCGTTTCTGTAAATCCGGCTACTTCATCAGGCTCTTGCCGTGATTAAACACACTCTTCCCATACACAAACAATTTATGGATTTCAGGTTTGATTTCATCTGAAGAGTCAATTTTGATTTTAGGTTTGATTTCAGGATTTGTGTTTGAAGACGATTTATAGATTTATGGACCCATCTTCTTCCTGGGATTGTTTGAGAATTTTTTGGGATTGTTCTTATGGTTTAGATTTATAGAAACGAAAAACGAAAATCGATGAACAATTGGATTTATAGAAAACGAAAATTCTTTCTGGGATTGTTTGAGATTTTTTTGGGAATTTTCTTCCAGCAGTTTTACTTCGACCCATCTGTCAGGGACCAGAATCGCAATAAAATCATACCATAAGGAGGTCCGAGTGCAAAATAAAAGTTATGGACGAAACGCGTGCTTTTAACGAAATCATAGGACGATTTTAGTAATTTACTCTAATAATAATACTAATAAGCAATGTGGAAATGAATTTATTAAGTATTTGAAAATACCTTTTATTGTCTATGTATTGAACTACAGCAAGTAGTTTGTATCCTGCAATGTTTTCAACTGCAAGATTGATGAGAGTGGCTATGAGACCGGTTAGTAGCCCGACTAGGAAAGCCAATAACCATTTAAGGAATATATACTGTAACACTTGCGCTTGCGATCTGCTTCTCCAATCGTGCTTGAACAGATCATTCTCATTGATCCTGCAAAAAAATTTATTTTCATTAATAAAAAAAAAAAAAAAACTCTAGTTTCATGAAGTGAAAATCTGTAATGATAACTTACTCATAATCCAAGCTTTCGATATAGGAAACTTTGGCTCCAACAAGGGCTAGTGGACTTGAAGAAAGGGTTAGATTTCTCTTGAGGAGTGGCTGATGGAGTGAATTGCTCTCCATGTCTCTTTCTTGTTGATTTGTGGTCTCTGCCATTTGCTCTGAATCTTTCTCCATTTTATCAGTTAGATGAGATGCAGTTGCAGAGAGCTCACAGGTTTGATTCTGGCAGAGTACTGCTCTTCTCTCTCTCTCTCTCTCTCTCTCTCTCTCTCTCTCTCTCTCTCTCTCTGTTTGGTATTTATAGTTTGATTGAGATTCAATTATTTATCATGTGTTGTTGTGTTTCATGGGGATTTCGTGATGCACCATTCTTTTTATAAGATTTGGATAAGAGCAAGGAAGGAGTAGGAGGTTGTGACATTTACCAGTGTAACTATAAAATAAAAAACTAAGGGTCCATATCAGATGTGCTAGTTGATAATGATTTGTGTTAGGATTTTGTTAATATATGAAGCAAAAGTGAGACCTTTATTTAAGTGCTCACAAAATCTAAAATATTAAGACCACTTCTAGGATACTCCACTACAAGTGGAAGCACCAGCCAAAATGCCAAATCATATAGCATGAAATGTAATGTGTGAACTTATTCGATAAAGTTAGCCGGCCTTTACTTATTTTAAGATTGAAAAATAACAACCATTTATTCCTAAAGTCATGGAACAGTTGCTATTAATATATATATATATATATAGAGAGAGAGAGAGAGGTCTGATGAAAAAGAAAAACATCTATAATTAAAATGAGGTCATGAGAATAATAATATAGGAGTGTTTGGGGTGGAAAATGTACATAACATGGAAAAGGGGTCAAATACATATAGTTATGGAATTAACAAGTAAAGAAATGGTTAGTGATTAATAATCAATCCAATCATCTTTGAACAATTGTTTAAGAAATGAAATTGGAGATCTGAAATCGGATGGCTGGAAGAAAAATGGCTCTTGGGGTAAGTGGAAGGGCAGTGAGTGAGTTTGTCCAGGTGTGCATCAATTATCGTTTTCGATTAGCTGCATGTTCAATCAAGACAGATCGGACGCTTAAACATGTGTATTGTTGTTGGTCCACGTGGCCTACACAAGTAGGCCAACCCGTTTTTGTTATTAATTTCCCATGAGAATCACAACCATTGCACCTTTAGTATTTTTGTTTTTTTGGACCACAACCATCTAGGCCTTCCCATTCATATATAATTATTACACAATCATAACATAAAAAAAGTTTATAGATCTAGATTGTTGTTATTATTATTATTTATTACAAATGGTATTATTATTATTGTTGTTACTATTATTAATATTACAAATTGATAGATTTGTTATTATTATTATTATGTAACAATTGTGATAATGAAGCATTTTCCTTGACGATTGCTTTATAGAAGAAACTATGGTGTTTATATAAATATTATATAATATATATTCTTGTGGATCATGCTATGTTATTCTATATTTGACTATTAGATCTGGGCATGTAAGCGAGATATGTTATATTATAATTTACAAGCCTTTTCAGACAACTGGTTTGAAGCGATAAGGATTTAGGAAAAGGAAAACAGACCCCCGAAGACTAAGGATCTCAAACAGAAATATTAGTATAATTTATACGATAAATCATGTATCCTAATTTCCCACCGCCTTGTATTCTTTATGTTTTTTTTTTTTTTTTTTTTTTTTAAAAAAGCATTCGATTCATTAAATAACATATTTTAGAGATGATGGTGTCAGAATATGATGAGCATATGCTCATTCTCATTGGAAACTTGTATGTAGGTTTATACAAAAACCAAGTGTGTTTTTTTTATGTTTTATTCTTTATGTTATATCGTAACATTAAAATTTTATTCTTTTATCATTAATCTATACAAGTCTTTTTCATATGTGAAATTGAATTAGCGGTCTCTCGTATTGATTGGTTTTTTAAATGTTATACTATGACTCAGGCCCCGTTTGATACGCATCTTTCCAGGTCCAAACAGATCTTTCTGGCTAAATGGACCGGAAAGACTGTTTGATTTGCACAAAAGAAGGGGTCTTTCCCGATAAGATATGTCTTTCCCAGAAAGCCCCAAAATCATATCTTTCTGGCTGAATGGGCTGGAAAGACAATTATACACCAAACCCCGCCTCTTTCTTTCTTTATTGGATTATTAATTTTTTTAAATAACTTTTTTTAATTATATTTTTTATTGAATTATTATTTTTTTTCATCATTCAGCACAGTCAATCAGATGTACAATCAAACAGCATGGTTTCTTTCCCAGTCAGAAAACTTTCCCAGACAGCACTTTACCAGACAACATTTTCCCAGACAGAAACTATCAAACGGGACCTCAATGTTTTTAATTATATGAAGAAATTATATTTCTAATTTTACAAAATAGATATGCATGGGTAGATAGATGTTAAGGATTATTTGCAAAATGTTCAGGAACATTTTATGGGTGTGATTAAGTTATAAATGTCCAACAATATCCATCTATTGACGATATATATTGTGTATCGTAAATGTAATGTGTTGATTGAATATGGTTGGTTGTCTGTCATGCCCATGTTCATTTGATTGTGTTTATGTGAGTTCATGTAGTCTCAGGATAAAAAAAAAATGGTCGGCCATATGACAACTGCAACAATGGATGTGGAGACATGTGTTATTTTTAAATATTAATGTATACAAGTTTTTTTTTTTTTTTTTTTTTTTTTTTTTTTTTTTTTTTTTAGAATATGATTGTTAGCATCCGACTTATTATTTCCAGTTTCCAAATGAATGAAATGTCTAATGAAACTCATAATGTGGCTTTCACTGTCATAAAGGTTAACATAGAATAAAGAAAATAATATAAAAAGTGGCTAAAGACAGGTGTATGTTCTATTGTTTGTCTTATTATTGGGAATCTATAATTAAAATACAAAGTTACAACTATAATAATAGATAATTATTATAGGTTTGTTAATCATTCTACATAATTAACATATAAAAGTTACATAATTATTATAGGTTTCTTAATCATCCTACGTAGCTTTGGATAAACGTTCATTGCAAGTGGTTGATATTGGTCTATGCACAAACATATAATACAATAATATTTTTATTATAATCATCAATAATAATTTTATAATTGAGTTGACATGTCCATAAGTATCATCTCCGGTACACGGCAACAATGAAGATTTTTCTTATTTTTTATTCGTCCAAATCTTTTGCTAAAAATGTTTAAAAACAACCCATCTAAATGAGATTTTATTTAGTTTATTTATAAAATGATGATGCATGATATTAGTCGTTTAATATGTACTTCAAATGTTATCAACGTAAAAAATGATTAAAAAATAAGTAAATAGATGATTTGTATATGTTAATTGATAGTGCGTTAATAATCAAAACAAGGAAAATAGGCACGTTTCTTAATCAAACTACGCATGTTTGGGTACACACTTATTGCAAGTGGCAGATAGATTGGACAATAACGATATTTTAGGTGTATCAGATTTAAACTATGGATTTATTGTATGAAATTTCATATTTCAACCATTAGGGTTTTATCACAAATGCCAATTCCTTTTAGTTTTAGACTCATGGTTCATATTTCAACCATTAGGTTTTTTAGGTTTTTATCACAAAGGCCAATTTCTTTTAGTTTTAGACTCATGGTTACCCAATCTTCAGGTTTTATCACTGTAAATAATTTTTCACTCAAACAATCATTGTGGTTTGGTTTTGTTTGTATTGATTTTGGTCACAAACATTTTTATCTTTTTAAATTGAGTGTAATATTATAACATATTAGTGTGTCAATCATTGCGGTTTGGTTTGGTTTGTATTGATTTTGGTCATAAATATTTTCATCTTTTTAAATTGTGTGTAATATTATAACATATTAGTGTGTCAGTACCACACCCCACACCCTATCTTCACTCCTACCATTTCCATTTCCGATTTTCTTCCCCTTCCACAGTCTTTACAGTCATAACATGTTTCCTCCACCACTACCACCTAACCATCGTAATCATTCGCCGCCGACCAAGAAATATACTTATTTTTTTATTCTATTAAAACATCAACAGACTCATTTCTACCTTACCCTGAATCCATTACCATTTCATCCTCGACATAAATCAAGCAAAAATATTGAAGAAATCAAATGAGACGATGATAATTTGATCACAGAGGTAACATACCTTTATAAACTCATATCTAGAAATTCAAAAAACTAAAATGTACATTTAAGTTATTTAAAAATTTATATTTAAGTTATTTAAAAATGTATATCTAAGTTAATTACACATAAAAATATAGAATGCAAAACTTAAATCAAAATATCAAATTAGAAATGACCAAAAACTAATTTATTAGAATAATAATAATAAAAAGACAAATTGACTTATTAAGGTAATTAATTTTTCGGTTTATTCGTATATGGCTAACTATTTTTTTTATAAACATCTAGGTAACAAACTTTTTGGAAGTGTTTACATATGACCATTATGACCGGCTGTAACAGGTTACATCCAGTCATAATGGTCATATGTGAACACTTCCAAAAAGTTCATTACCTAGATTAGGGGTGTGTGCGGTGCGATTTGGTGCGGTTTAGAGTCAAAACCGCAAACCGCACCGCATGTGCGGTTTGGGATTTTTGGAAACCGCAAACCGCACCATTAAGGTTCTAAACCGCATTATGCGGTGCGGTGCGGTTTGGTTTGGTGCGGGCGGTTTTGGTGCGGTTTAGTGAATAACAAATAACAAATAAGCTATTTTGTATTCAAGTTTTATACGCATTAGTATGTAACTACGATTAAATGATTTTTTATCATATAACAAATAACGAGTTGTATATAACTATGGTAAACGATTGTTTTAATATCCCTAACATCGTTATTGATTTGATATATATTAGTGCTACATTTCCCATCAATTTTAATATCCTATTGTGAAAATGAAAGTTATGTGTCGGCTAAATCCAAAATAGAGTTTGCACTCAGATAGATATATTTTTCCATGATAAATTTAATTTTATTCTTTTAAAGATATTGATTTAATATAATCAATATAGTTTGATACCTAATTTGTCAAGTATCTTTATAAATAGACAAAAATGGGTTAGAATTTGTTATAACTGAAACAATGGTTGTATACTGTCCCATTGTTTAGCGACCAATTTGCTATTTTGCACTTGTTAGAATTTGTTGTA